TCTGTCACGTGGCAAGAAGCATCTTCTGCTCCTTCTTTCCCCTCCCCTCTCTTCTTTTTACCCCTTCCTGCCCAACCTGTGTTATTCATGACCAGATGACATCCCATCTGATGCAGAAGCCGAGTTTCGCTTACATCGAGGTAGCGCAGAAGAGCCAGGACTAAAAGTTTCTGAAGATGAAGAAGGAGCAGAAGATGCTTCTTGCCACGTGACAGAAGGTAATAGCTTTCCCACCGGTGTTTGAATGGTTGTAATTGCCTTCTGGATAGTCTATACATTTATTTAAGATTTTAAATCTCTTGGATTTGAACCAACTCACTGCTCTCAGTGGCAAGGTATGCGCCTGCATTGGTGTTTTGCAAAGTCCATTGATTACGGCTTTGGAAAGAGTGAGAGCCCATCTAATTGCTACTTCTTGTAGAATTTTTTATATAAAATTTTTTACTGCTTTGTACATGTACAAAATTTTGGTGAGGTTCCAGATGTCTCATCTAGAATTTGTAAGACGCCGTGGAATTTGTCGCTACTTGCTGCATGTAACATTAAAAATTCAGGATACAGCAGTCTCATTTGTTTTCTTAAACATATTTTTGCTTTCTATAGATCCATGCAAGCCGTCTGCTCCTAACCAGTCAACTAATGACATTGTTCTTCCTCTGTCTCCAGCTGATAGTCTCAAAGCAGAACAAGCAGAGGTAAGAAGGGGAATTGGTCGAGTTTTCTGCTTAGAACCTACAGTTCAATAGAACTTTTTGTTGGTCAAACTATTGAGAACTGACAGCCATGCTCTTTTCTTCTTTTTAGTCTCTATAATTGGTGTTCTTGAAATTTCATTCTATGTAGGCTTTAAAAATAATGTACTGTCTTTCTTTCCTACTTTTAGAGTGTAGAGGCTCTGTCATAGTCACCCAAGTTCCCATCACAAAATGCAAAAAGAATTAAAGAGGATATTTTCATTTCAATGCACAGTTAACAAGAAGTATATTGCATATAATGCATAATGGAAGTCATCAGTGAGCTATTTCTTGTTTGTCCTGGTTTGGATATCCTTTCTGTACCAAAACCAGATTCTGTATTAATCTTATTTGTATTACTTATTCCATAGTAACCAAGTGTTTAGCTTTTCCTGGGTAGCAACATAGTTCAGCTGAAGGAAGCTGAGTTATTTAACATTGTACTGTTAGCCCTGAAGTCGGCATGCAAGCTTACTGTTGTTTCCAGCTAACAGGATGCAAGAACAGAAAGTCCATAACCCTTAAAATGTTTATTTCAGACATTCATCTCCAGTGTTTGTGAAGAATTGCTTAATGATTTGACTTTCCTAGAGAGTTTTGTTATAAACCATTTTACTTGCACAATGGACAGATGATGGGATAAGGCTAGTTTGCTGACAGCAATTGTTGACAATATTGTCTATTAAAATGGAGGGTGATTATTTTTTCAGACTAATCCAATGATTCTGTTAGACAGAGTTATACTTTGCATTGGGATAATGCCCAAATGCAGTACTTAAAAACCTGAGTGCTTAATATGTCATAGAAACACACAGAGCAGTTTATTCTCTCGTGGTCTTGTGACAATTGAACTAAACTTCCTGCTTTTAGAAGAAAGCTAGCGCAAAAGATACCATGGAAAGATAAGAACTCAGTAAGAGAAGTCCCTTGCCGAAAGGTTAGATATAAAACCAAGAACTGTACTACTGATTAATATGGCAGTTTGCCTAATTTGCTCTTAAAGCACCCCTTGCTTTAAAAAAATGTTGCAGCTGCAGTAGATGCAAGCCAGCAGAAACTGCTGTGTTGATGAGAGCTTGAGAGACTTGAATGAAATCTGTCTGAAATGAGGGACTCCTAATATATGCAGAGTTGGATATTGAAAGGGAGAGTGGGAAAAGATAGAAATAGGTTTCTGGAATTTAGCATTCTTTTTGTTTCAAAAGTTAAATTTGCCTTATTGTTGTGTACAAAGAATAGTTTTATACAATTGGACGTCTGCACCTGGGAAGGAATCCTAAACAACATTCAAGGCCTGGGAGTGAGACGCAATTTGTGCTTTCTTTTTTTCCTCCAAGTTTTAATACTTGGGTGGTTTAGCAGTAAAAATGTAGCAGCATTCTAATGTGACCAGTGACTACTAATATTTTATTACATTATATTATATTTTATTTATTAGGATGTAAAAGATCCCCTGGCTGCAATAAAATCTCCAGAGGCACGCTTTTTCCCTGAGCTTTTCCTTCTTGAGGAAGGACCAAAGGATGAAATTCCCAAAGACAGAAAAGCTAAAAGCCCTTCTTTGCCACTTTCTCCTGTGTTATCTCAGCCGGTTGCATCACCAGAAACTACTGCACCTACATCTCCAGCAGAATCTCAGCCAGCAGCACCAAAATTGGCTTCATCTCCAACGTCTTCTCAAAAGCCTATCTGTTCACAGCCTTTGCCTTCTGCCGAGACATCCATTCCATCCCCAGTGGAGCCTCCAGTATGTTTCCAGCCTGGCCCAGCGTTAACTTCTACTCCTCTAGCTAAACTGGTCCTCAGGAACCAGGATAGCGAAGTGGAGAAATTGGGGAGCCCTACCACTGCAGAAGAAACTCTGAAACGTAGTAACCTCGTAGAAGAGTTCTGGATGAAGAGTGCTGAAATCCGCAGGAGCTTAGGACTCACCCCAGTAGACAGAAACAAACGTTCAGAATCAAACTTTCCTGTATCTGCCCTTGAGACAACTCCTCTGAAGACTTTTAATAGTGAGAGTGTCACAGGGGATGAAAGGATGCATCTTGTAAAGCCACAGCCTGCCCCAAGAAGGCAGGGACTGTCTAAGTTAGAAAATGAGCAAATTTCTCTGCTCACTCCAAAATCTCCATCAGAAAAAGAACTGAGGAGTTCCCATGAAGTTAAGAGAGATGTATCCAGCAGTTCGGGACTTGGTCTTCAGGAGAGCTCATCTAACATGAGAACTTTGGCTAGCCAGAGCTTCAACACTTCTGACTCTACTATGCTTACTCCTCCATCAAGTCCCCCACCACCACCTCCTCAAGATGAAGAACCAGCTACTTTGCGTAGAAAAAGGTATCAAGCACTTTGGCAGAATGAGGTTGAATCCAAGTCACCTCCAACACCAGCATCAACGCCTCCCGTTCCTCCACGCCATGAGCCAACCTCTGCTGTCAAAGAACCAACGCAGGCCAAAAAGGATGACGTGCGAAAGTCTTTTGCAGAGAGTGTGGATGAAATTCCATTTGCTGATGATGTGGAGGACACATATGATGACAGGACAGAGGACTCAAGCCTTCATGAGAAGTTCTTTACACCTCCTACCAGTAGGCCACGGCCAGAGAAACCACTTGTTTTGCCCTTGGTGAAGGAAAATGGTGGTCCACCCTCTATGGAGGGAGGGGTTAACCAAAAGAAGAGAGTGTTGCCTGAAATTTCTGCAGAGGCCAAGGAGCTTGCTGAAGAAAGGATGAGAGCCAGAGAGAAGTCTGTCAAGAGCCAGGCACTACGTGATGCCATGGCTAAACAGTTATGTAAGATGAAAGATATGGAGATGGCTGCAGCTGCTGGATCCGCAAGGGCACGAAAGGCATCTTCTATGCCTTTGAAGACCAAAGAGTTGTTTCATGACTCTCCAAAGCACTTGGCATTGAAAATAGCAGAGGTGTCCACACTAAAGCATGATGCTGCTAGTGAGAAGTTCTCCACTCCTGCTGATGTGGCTGGACCTGAAGGATCTGTCACCTCTTCAGAAGGCTCCAGTGGGAAGAGTAAGAAAAGAACTTCTCTTTTCTCCCCTCGTAAGAACAAAAAGGAGAAGAAATCCAAAAATGACAGCAGGCTTTCCGACAAATCTAGTGGTGGGACAGAGGATACAACGAAGTCCAGGTCATTATGGAAGTCTGTTTTTTCTGGGTATAAGAAAGACAAGAAGAAGAAAGCTGATGACAAATCCTGCCCAAGTACTCCCTCAAGTAGTGCTACTGTGGACTCTGGCAAGCACAAAGCATCTCCGTTGATTACAGCTGCAGGTACAATAGATACGTGATACAGCTGTGTAATCCTTGAAACTAAATTTGTCATCATGATACTGTGTTGATTGGCACTTCTCCTCATTGTTAGAGGTAAAGATCAGGATAAGCAGCAACTGGAATTGTGTGTCTGCATATTTACGGAATTAAAAGGATCCTTAAATAGAAGCTTCACTCTTAATATGTACAAGGCACATCCAGGTTCTGCCTTATGCTGATTTGAGACAGAAGCACTATCTACTGGAGTCAGGTGTTTGTGATGTTAGATCTTTGTTTTATATCTGATCCTCATCTTTTCCATGGATGTTCTGTTTCTGTTCCTTTCAACCTGGTTCTGTGGATACAGAAGGCTGCAGAGATGCAGTCACTGATGTGTTCTCTGTGATCTGACAACTGTTTGCTCACCTAAGATTCTGCAGCCTCGTGTAAATCTCTCATATGCCATTAGGTACAGACAGGGATGTTTAATAGCAAGTTGTGATATGGTACATTAGCCATAAACATGATCAAAAGCAAACATGTTACATTTCTTTGGCCTTGTTCTAAAAGCCAGAATAGTGCTTGCTGCTGTCACCAAGTGCTGTATGTTGCATTAGAGAATTGAAGCAGCAGAAAGGAAGAATCATGACCGTGACTTCTAGTACTGTTCACAGAAAGTGATACACACCCAGATTTAAGCTTCTAACCAGTGACTATCATCTTGTGGAACAGTGCTTCTGTGCTGACTGTGTAATCCGAGGCAGCACAGCTAAGACTGGCATAAACAACTGTAATTTTGAAGTTGAAGCAGCTTGCCAGCTGAGATCTGAAGTGCTTACAGAGGGAAATGCACTCTTGTAGCTGCTATTTTTCTAACTCCCCTTCTTATTCCTATTTCTCAGATTTGCAGCTCCGTCGACACCTGAGTTTCTCAGAGGACTCCGACCTCTCCAGTGATGATGTTCTGGAACGCTCCTCCCAGAAATCCAAGCGAGAGGTAGGCAGATCTTGTATCATAGATCAGAGACTCAGACCCATGGCAGGAGCTTGGGTAATGCTTTTTGTCATTGTTACTGTTTCTTCTGTGGAACAGGCTTTCCTGGAAGCCGACCAACGATTTGTTTCACTTACTTCACAATTACAAGCTACTTCTTACTGTTATAATATGAAGCGTCTGTTATCTCACTTAGGTTGTTTTACAGCTGAATATCACAGTCTGAATAGTGAATCTTGTCCCGGTAATGATCATGCCAATACTCTACAGAAAAGAACAGTTTAATGTCAGAAGAGCAAATTTCACTAACTCTTAAGCAAAAAGGTTGTCCTCACCTGTTATAAGAGTCCCACTGCAGCACTTTGTTTCACCAGCCTTTTTGATAGATTGATGAGGTAGAATTCCAAGCAAACTGCAGGCAGCAGTATACTTTTTTATGCCTCAAGAGCACATTCAAGACAGATTGTCAACTGAAAGGTAAGCTGTAGTTTGCAGTCTGTGACTCGTGCAGGCCTACATATTTTTCCTAGGCAAAGAGTGCTAGTACCTTCTTATTCTTGGAGAGATGAGCCATCAGTTGTCACTCCTACTTTGACCTTGTTTTGTTTGAGGACTTCCTGGTAGTTGCTGAGTATTTCTTTGCGTCTGTTATAAAGAAAACAAATGTAAAGACAAAATACATAATGATTTTGAAATCCCAGTATATAGTGATTAGCCTTAGCATGGTATTTTCATTCCAGTGTAGTCTGGTGTGAACTGTGCTTCTTCTGAGAAACTTCTTGTTCCTGAGCAAACTTCCCCAAGCTAATGCAGTAGTACAATGGTGTAAGACATATCAACATCTAAAATAGTTTCACTTTAAGTGGTACTTTAATGAAGTTATTGAATAAAACAGACTAGATACCAGTGCACCTTTGTAAATCCGAGAAAGAAAAATACTTTTCATTTATTTGCAGTGTTTTAAAAAAGTGGTGAGAACCAAGTGCCAAAGTTAGATGCTTGTAAGTTACTTATTTCAGTTTTGGATGGCACTGTTCCACTGCTGGTGGAAAACGTAAGGATATGCTCTGCTTCTTTCATTGTTATTGGCTTCTAAGCTCTGCAGGACAGACTTTGTAAGGTATAAAGAATAAGTAGAGATTCCATTGGCCCTCCTGGTACTACAGAACAAAAAATGAATTCTTCCTGTCCTTTCTCAATGGAGCCTGGTCCATATATTAAATAACTCAGGAAGAGATTATCTCAGAGGGTAGTGTGCCAGACACAGTGGTCTGTACCTCCTGTCTCAAACCTTTGATCTAGTCCTGCATTTCTGTGTATATATAATGCTGGTAGAAGGATTTGATGAAAAGTAAGAATTTCTTTGCATTTACTTACCTCTCTTTCAGTTTCTCGTCCTAGTTGATGTAGATCTCTTCTGAGAGGAAGATTATTTTCTTTTTATTTTATTCCTTTTTTTCTCTTCCCCTTTCATTCCTTCTTGCATGCCCTCAAGGTGTTTCATGAGAAATTCTGCATTTTCCAAGAGATGCAGAAGAACGAGGTACCTGTGGTTAGCAGAGGACAGATATGCAATAAAGGGGGTTCAGATAAGAGTTTGGAGTTACTGTTCTACCTTGTGTGCTCTTTGGGAGGAAGCAGGCCTTAAATAAGATTCATGCCTATTTTCAGACTTGGGTATGCATTGATGGCCCATGGTTGTTGGTTTTTATTTTTTTTTTGTATGTTTGTCTTTTCTCTGCTGAGCTACTTTCATTTAAAATAACATTAGCAGAAAAAGATATGGTCACTGAGCTTTGTGGGGATAGGTGACAGTGGCAGATGGCTGGAATCCTAATACTAGAAATATCTCACCAGCTTTGCCAAAGATACCTTGGTAACATCTCATTTTCTCCTGTTTGCTGTTGCTGAGCTTATATTAAGAATTTCTTTGGCTCAGCATCTGCCTGTTTTCTAAAGGAATAGTTTTTGAGAATGGATTTGTTTAGAGGAAACAAATCAGAGAACTCCACTCACCTAATTTTATTGCATCCAGTCCAAGGATGTGAAACATAGATGCAAACATGGAACGTGTTGCTGTCAAAAGAAATGTAACTGAACTTTGGGACTGACGAAACTGGGTTTGTACTGATTTGGGGTGGGAATGTTATGTGTTTTAAATTACAAGCTACTTACTATGGGTAGAAGTTTACTTCCTATATGGCACATAACTTTTATGTGAACCCCTTCTCTAAACTGAAATTTTACTTCTGCTGCTTTTCCAGTAATTGTAGTGAGCTTGCTTCCTAGATGGCTTGCTCTGTCTAGCCTTTTCTCTGCGATCAGCAGCAAATTTCTTCCGTGTTGTTCAGTGTAATTCAAGTGTCTTTCAAGAGAAGCATCTTGTAAAGAATTCCTACTGTGAATACTCTGTGGGTTCCATGTGTATGGGTGTGTCCTTGTGTGTGTTTGTCACTGTTCCTCTACAGTTGTGGTGTTGTGATCAGACGTGTTTTACTCACAGGTAGTTTGCTTTTTACTGATGTTTGCTTATGTGCTTAAAGTTGTTCTATGGCTTTTCATTTGTGTATTTTTTTACTTAATTAAATGTGAAAATGCAAAATGCTGACTGCCCAGAATGGCATAATGCCCTCTGTACTTCATGACACGAGACAGATTTCCCCTCTCTTAGACTATAGGTGGTTTACTTGCCTTATTTTCAGATATACTTTAACCTAGAATATTCTTGGGAGGGGAAAGGCTGTGACCCTCCCCTCCCCTCCCCTCAACATCGCATCTTTTTTTTTCCTCCTAATTTTAGCTCCTCAGGTTCTCTGGAGGTTCTCTTTTTAAACAGGGAGAGGACAGGTAACTCACTCTGAGCCTATCTTGTGTTTCTGCAGTCACAAAGCAGCGAGGAAGATTATGTCATTATTTAAATGCAAATGATTATTTTGATGGAGTAGAAATTATTTTAAACCATGAAATAGACACAACCTCCATGAAAGATTGTAAAACAGTGTATAAATGGAGAGTTGTGTGACACAGTAATATGTGATTGGCTTAGCAAGCTCAGACCAAATATGCCCCAGCAAACAAGACATTATTCCATATTGTAAGCCAAAATTTTGTATGTGTATGTATACTTACTGCTCAAGTGGATATTAAATCCATAGGTGGATAAAGGCCATAGCATTCTCTACAAAAAAGTATTTCCAGGTTGATTGTATCTTGAAAGAAGCTGCCAAAGTTAATTGTCTTCAGGAGACTGATAGAAACTTGATTTTGTGCACAACGGTTTCATTGTGCTTAATCAGACTGGGCCGTGTTCAGCATTTGCACAATTCTGTGTTGCATTTAAAAACAGCTTTATTTTTTTTACTATGCATCTGTTTTCAATGTTGAACTGATTTTACTTCATTTTGTATGTTTTTTATTTTTTTCCTTTACCATTCCCCCTTTAAAGTCGATTTATGTACCACACGCCTTGGCATTCAAGAGATCATATTCGTCAAAGGTAGTGTCTCCATTCCCAGTAGTTGGCCATTGTTGCATGTATATCCCTGTATTAACCCATTGAATATGTAGCTACCCATCACATGTACACTAACATCACAACATTGATTGTGCATGCGTGAGATGTTAGCAGACATGGGCAGCAAAATCTGCGTAGAGGTTGTCTACCAGCAATGCACTGAGATCCAAATTGTCTGTGTTAGAATGCATGCAACTATCAGTGCCCAGCAGTGCACCACGGTACAGAGTAATGCGGATGATCTTTGAGCTTCAGAACAAATGGGGTTGGTAGGGAGTTAAATATATATGTGTATTATTTTCTTACATACGTAAGAACATAGAAGTGGATTGTCACTCCTTCTTTCAAAATCATTGTTCAAAATCTTTGGGTTCACTGAAATCTCAGTGAAATTCTTTGTCAAGATAAAATCAAGGTAGAAGTTGCATTTCTGTTTTAGAAATGTTGCTGCTTTCTGAAGTCATTATTGGCCTTATTGACAGTCACAACAGCATTAAGTAGAATAGGAAAGTCATGCTGTCTCTAACTTTCCAGCAAAGTATTGACTTCTTGGAGCTTTAATAATGGTGCTTGCTGATCACCAATCTGAGGAGTTTTTAGTAGAGCTACGGTCCAACCATATAAACCTCTGCTCACTGAGAACAATAAAACACAGATAGTGTGATCAGCACAGCAGTACAATAACTAGATAAAGGAAATTTCATGCCTGTATTAATGTTTTGTACTTAAACTGAACTGTCGATGTGGAAGATATTTCCAGAAGTGGAAGACATCTGTGAACAGCTATCTCATAAAGGCTACATACATGTATGTAGGAAGACATTTCTTCCCTGTAGTTCATTTAATGCAATTGTGAAGTTCCTTTGACACTCTAAAGGTGATGAGAGGAAACAAACCTAGATTACAACAAACCAACTAGTATACCTGAAAAGATACTGAACTTCATTTCAGTATAATCAAAAATTTAGATTTAGATATTTTTAAAACCAGTTCACTTGGGAGAAAAGGAGGAGTATCTTTCTATAAATGTAGCCTTTCTCATTTTGAATAACTTCTGGTGCTATAATATTCTAGTTTTAGTTAAGGTGTTGGTTGCTCTGTTTTATACCAGACAGTTTTGTGGCATTGTTCTTGAGATGGGATTTACCCTCTCACACCAGAACACCATTCTGCTTTCAAATATCTTTTTGCCTTCTTGATTTAGAGAAAAATTGCACAAATTCACACAGGTAATCATTACCAGTTATATCAGTATAATTCCCAAATACGGATAATTTATATCCAGAATAAAATGGTTTCTATGAAGAGAGCAGAATACCAATGTAACTACACCTGTCTATATTAATCTCTTAGTTTATTCTGCTGTAACTGTTCATGTAGACATGTCTTTATCTTCTAAAATGAAATCAAGGTGACCCCCTTATAAGGTACTCATTGACTTAAGTCCATTTGGTTAAATCTGTTGAAAAATAGGTTAAAAATGGATTTGATCATTGTGGAGAGGTTCCTCATAGCAACGGAAGACTGAAATGGGACATCATATAAAATCACAGCTTTGCAATTGGCTTATGTGCTTTTTCACTCCTGATTTGACCCTGAAATTGTTGCTCACTGCACTGTGAACACCTTTGCCTACAGAAGCTTGACTTTTGACACAGCTATGAGAAAAACAGAACACTTCCCTTCTGCAGTTTTGGAAAAGAAAATCATTTTCCCTCCCCTTTAGCTCCGGGCATGGAAATAAAGTCTGCTGTTCTTCCTTCCTCTCCTCCAGAGAGCCTACACAGAAGAGGAACTGAATGCTAAGCTGACCCGACGAGTACAGAAAGCTGCCCGCAGACAAGCCAAGCAAGAAGAGCTCAAGAGGTTACATAGAGCTCAGGTAGTGTCTCACAGTCTTCTTGTTATGGCAGGAAACCCTATCCGAAGGCACCATGATCCTGACATTCCACTGGGTGTGTCAGAAGAAGCTCCAGAACCAGAATTCCCTCTAGTTCTACATGGTTGCCTCTGCTCCTACTTTGTCCGTCAAATTTGGTGCAATCTTTCGGACATGGGAAGAAATTGTTGTAACCTGTCAAGGTAGTTTAACAGCAAGAAAAATGACAAGAGCATGAGAGCATAACACCTTCCTACCTGGAGATGAATATAGTACCATTCACTGAATGAAAGAGCTGTAGTCAGTGACTGCTTTCCTAGATTGTGCTGGTGGGTGAAGTGTTAACAACTAAACTTTAACTACAAGAGAATCTGCTGGCACTGTTTATAGGAGATGGGTTTTGTTTACAGGAAATTGCATGGGTTTTGTCGAGGAAGGGGATCAGCTGACTGAATGGCAACACTTTTCACTTAGCATTTAGGAGGGGGATTTCAGTTGTAACAAATAGGTGAATATCCAGGTGTCTGTAAAACGAGATGCTAGGATGCAGAGATGGGGGTGTCCTCACTGGAGGGGACTGTGATGCTAGCTTTCAAGCCATTGTGTTGTTGGATGCAAATACTTATAGTTTTCAAACAGCTAATTTGACTGAAGTCGAATTGGTGCTGGATATGTGCTACATACAGAACAGGAAAATTGCTACTGATAAGCTCATTTCTTTTCTCAACAGATCATCCAGCGGCAGCTTGAACAAGTGGAAGAGAAGCAGAGACAGCTAGAGGAGAGAGGGGTTGCTGTGGAGAAGGCCCTTCGAGGAGAAGCAGGTATCCAGCAGAGCTTGGTTTGCTTTTTAATGTTTTTTTTTTTTATCAAATGCTTGTACAGTAGTCCATTGGTGCTTGGATTTTAGAGGCGTTTGGACCTTTGTAGCCTAGAATTAGAGTCCAATATGAATCCATTCCCCCTTTTCTTCTCTTTCTGAGGCCTTGTTCTTGTATTTCCTCTAATCCTTGGATCTTTCTAATGGCAGAGACTTAGTTTGCTTGTCTTTACCAGAAACTCAGGAAGTAATCCTCCAATTATTAATAATGGATGTCTGACTGTTTTCTACATATTATTGGATTTTACAGCTAGAAAATTTTGGGGGGTTCCCAGCTGCAATTCACAGCTTTCACAGAAAAAGAACCCCTTTTGTACATGAAGAAAATAACTGTGAATTTGTGTGTGCTTTCTCTATTGTGTTGGATTATTACGGTAGTGTCCTTACAAGGGACCATCACAGAACATCTTCCTCACTGCACAGCCCAGCACACTGGTTGCTTCAGACAAAGCTGTGCAGAGCAGAAATGCAAACATGAAAGGTATCCATGTCAAGCTGTTAAATGAATGTGATCTGTGTTTATAATTAAACTAAATGAGTTTCACCTGATCTGGCAAAACATGAGTGGAGGAGTACTTGGTTGAGGTAATGCTAATAGTAGTGTAATGATCTGGAAGAAAAAAAAAGAGTCCTGTAATTGCATGGAGTCAAATATCCAGCAGGCAAATGCAGTGTGACTGTATCTGATAGGATTATGCCCAGGATTATGTACCTGATTACAAAGACGAGAAATCAGTAATGGTAACAGTGGAACAGATTGGAAGAATGATTTGGCTTGTTGCTTGGACTTAAGAGTGACCACTATGCCTATGAAGATGGTATAAGATTAAGCAGTGAAGGTTCACTGGAAGAAAAGTTTGTTGAGATTCCTTTCCAATTACTTCACCAAGTTTAGTTGTGTTCGCTGCTCCATGAAGGCATGCTAAAGCAGCAGGTCTGAATAGTCACCAAAGCAAGTAAGTTCTACAAGTGTGGAAAACAGTCTTGATGACTGGAGTGGTATTGTGATCCAACTGGGTTTTTAACATGTGGGTTCAAGAAGTACCCTGTGTATAAACTCTTTCTCTGTGGTAGTGCCACCTTCCTTATGCAGTGTATTTCCCTGTAGTCCCACTCTATTTGCTGGCTTGCCAGTCACTGTGCTTACTAACACCTCTTCTTATTTCTAATTCCTCTTTTTCTTCTACATCTGGAAGTCTGTCTTGAATAGTCAGCTGCTAAATGGCATTCATGTCAGATATATCAGCACAAGCTGGAAATCTTAGCAGCTGAGAGAACATCCTTCAAAATGCCAAAGAAAAAAAATGTTCAGACCAAGAATAAGAGTTGGTATTTTGTATGGAAGGCTGCAGACTTAAACCTTTGCATAATACCTTTCTCTCAGCTCTCCCAAAATGGAAGCAGTCTTAGATGAGCTTCTGTATTTGTGGATTTCCTAGCGAAATTATGAAATTGTAGGTCATTCTTTGTGAAATGAACCTCTTTTCTTCAGGAAGCCTGTAAGGTGTGCTTTACTCTTGATTACGGAGGCTTAACTCCACCTTAAAGAATTGACAAGCTCCAATTCTCCAGTTACATCCAGGGATTAACAAGAAACACATTTTGATGGGGAAAAAAGTAATTATATATATATGTATGTATAAAGCATAGCCTTTTTTAACTGAAAATTAAAAATAAACTCCATCCTTTACCACTTTTGCTTACATATTTCAATATTTACATAAATTTGCAATAAAATAGCAGAAATTATTTTCATTGTTTAAAGTATGGGACATCACATCCTGTGAGTGCATTTAATTTCTGCCTCCAATACCATTAATTATTCAAGAGGGCAGAATAATTTACTTCTCAACTGCATTGCGTGGGTATTGACCTAACTGTGACCACTGCATTGAGCAGTGCTGACATGTGAAGATGTGGTGCCATACTCCTATTTCTGATAAGTTTTTCTTAATGAAATCGTGTAAACAAAAGAGGAAGGTCAGTGTTGTCAACATCTGGGAAAAAATAATCCTTTCAATACACTTGTACAAGTGGGAGAAAGGGGAGGGTGGGAAGTATGCCCCCTATGCACATACGCCATCCTCATAAAAGGAGAAGGATTGCAAGATGGGGCCAAAGTAATTGCTGTCCTCTAGAGGGCCACCAGTGTTAACTTGGAGATGATAAGGGCTCTGTAATGAGTTGGTTATTCAGCTTCCCTCCCTGTAGAGAGAGAAAATCACTCACTGACTAAACATTTAAACAGGAAGTTTTGGAAGTGTTAGTAGTAGTTTCCTAGTCCTAGATATTTGAAAATCCTGATTGAATGAACAGTTTTGTATTTCGTAGTGATTCTTTTTCTTTTGTAGAAAGAGACAGACAAGACCATCTGAGTTACTTTCCAAGTCTCTTATCATCTTTCAGCGTGTTCTCTGTTAGTCATCTTTCAATTTTTCTTTGTGTAGAGGTCTTTCATAAACTTAATTGTTCATGTCTCTGACCTCTTGACCTTTTCCCACCTTTATAGGAGTGTTTCCCACCTTTATAGGAGTGTTTCTTTCGTTAGACTGGTGAGAACAAAAAAAGATAGTCTGGGTAAGGATTTGTTTGCTTAGAATAATTTTGCTTTTATTTTCCATCCATTTTGTTTTGGCCTTAGTAGGTGGTTTATACCAAGCAGAATAGTCACAGCAGTGTCCTGTGTGTTTACAGTTTAGATCCTAGCAATAGAGCAAACAGTTCAGTACTATTTCCAGAAGTGACAGTCCTTATCTGATTGTTGCCAGGCTGAAATATTCTGTATGATGATGCTAGCAGGTCACTGTCAACTTTAATTTTGACAAAGTAATTGCACCTTTCTCTATAACTTCTTTTCTTCTTTTTTAATTTGGCTCAGCCTCAGGGAATGTGCAGCTGGCCTCCTTTCTTTGAAAAGCTGTGAATGCTCAGCCTAACATTTTGTTTCTGATTCAGAAAATAGTCTCACACATATGATTACTCAATTGCCTTAATTGTTCTCTCCTAATGTCTTTGAAGATCTCACCCTTTGGCAGTGGCTTTTGTAGCAAGAATGAATGATCTGAAATGGAAGCTCTATTTAAGGTGGCAAGTTTGTTGTATACAAGATGGGCCACGCTTTTGTCATTTGTATTTTTTTTTCTTCCCTTTTTGTTTTTAATTTTCTTTAGAATCATGGCATTTCACTTCCAAGGTAAAGTATGATAATGCCCGGAAAAAATTATCCCATTTTTCCTTCAGCATCCCAGGAGACAGCTGGGATGGGCTCACTATTAAAGTAACACTGCTTTGTGTTATAGTGCATTCGCCTGTCTGGACATTATTAAGACTTTTCAATTATTACCGTGAAAAATATGTAAACTTGAAAATTTCTTGAACCTTTTTCTTCTTCTCCCTTGTTCTCCTTTAGCACAAACTTTGATAGTCATTTTTAAGATGTCTTGTACTGACGGTTTGATATTGAAAAATTTAAGAGCAACCTCTTGACATCAAGTGAATCATATGCAGTGAGAAACAGTGCTCTCAGTACTCCCCTGTCTCTTCCCCAAAGAGTAATTATACAGTGCTAGACTCACGGTGTACCTGACTCTAGCAGCTGTGGACAGGCTTGTCTCTGTTTCACACCCTCTTATGTTCTTCTCTCACATAGGTACTGCATTAGCAGAAACCCTTTTTGCCACACTTCTGCGTTTGCCATTTGTGTCAGCACTCAGTCAGTGCCTTTCACTCGTGTTCTCTACACATCCTCCACACACTCACCTCCAAGAAGTCAATCCTTGTACCTTTCTTGCAGCTGACCTAAACAGTTAGGAAAACAACAAGAATAGCTCTGCTTTTCCCAGCAGGAACTGGGGAGACATCAGCGTCAAGTGCTGGTGCAGACTGAGAGAGTGAAGTGTCTGTGTAAACTTCTTGATTTTTCTCCATGGATATCCATGCCTGCCTGCTGGGAATTTTCTCCTCATCTTCCCAATATATTTTGTGATACATATATGTGCGTGTGTACATATATGTATATAAACAAAGATGTAATTTTATATGTATTATATATATGTGCAAACGTACATAGATGCATGTTTCTTGTTGTTCTGTCTTTTTTGTTTCTGTCTGCCTGTATGTCTTTTTTTCTCATAGATTGCTTTGATTGTGTGGGGCTAGGGTGGGTATCTGACTCAATAACTCTGTCTTCACCCATTCCTTGTTATAGACTATTGGGGAGAGTCTTATTACAGTGACCTCATCGACTTGCATCTGGGTGGTATGTATAGCTGAACCTCTCGCTGACACTAACCCTGCTGACACTCCTTCCCACCCCTCCCTTCACCTACTTCTCCCATCCTTGGCTCACAATCAAGAAGAAACAGTCCTTGCACATGAACGGCAGAACCCCTTTTGCAGCTCAGGAAGAGGAAATCCTGGTATATTCCGCAAGCCATGTGTAAAGCTCCTTCTTGTATTTTCTATATTGATAATTATTTATGAATTTATATACAGTTCTCACTCCAGCCACCTTCCCTGCTAGAAGTGGCCATTCTGACTTTTGTTTCTCCTTTGCAAAGTCCAATTCTACCATCCTAATCTTCAGGAAAATATATTAACACAAAGGGAACGGCAGATCTGACCAACTCCCAACAGCTACAGCACTCTAAAGGATTAGTTATGCCTTTGCCTCCCTTTTCTCCTTCTGAGGCTCTTTTGCTCTTTTCAAAGAGTGTTTTGATGTGCTCACAAGAAATGCATCCTCAAGGCACTTTGGAAGCAGTGGTAGATAACAGATTTCTTATTTCTTGGGTTGTCTTATTGTAGGACTAGAAAGAGAATCTACAAGTAGAGTTGCAGTCAGTTTCTGCATTTCTGCTTTCTAATTTCTGCGGTTTCTAATTTCTGCTTTGTAAATGGTGCTTGTTTAACGTTTGTCCCTCTTGAAAATTAAAATTCCCTTTA